CGTTGCAAGCAATATCAAGCAATTTTCTATAATAAATCAGAAATCTAGGCTGCGCAGTGGCGCAGTGGTTAGAGCTGTTGCCTTGCAGCGAGAAGGTCCTGGGTTTGCTTACCGGCCTGGGATCTTTCTGTATGCATGTTCTCCCTGTGCACGCGTGGGTTCTCTCCGGGTTCTCCGGCTTCCTCCCACAGTCCGAAAACATGACTGTCAGGTTAATTGGTCTGTCTAAATTGTCCTTAGATGTGTGTGTGTGTGTGTGTGTGTGTGTGTGTGTGTGTGTGTGTGTGTGTGTGTGTGTGTGTGTGTGTGTGTGTGTGTGTGTGTGTGTGTGTGTGTGTGTGTGTGTGTGTGTGTGTGTGTGTGTGTGTGTGTGTGTGTGTGTTTATTTGTCCTGTGTGTCTCTGTGTTGCCCTGCGATGGACTGGCTCTCTGTCCAGGGTGTACCCCACCTGATTGCCCATTGACTGCTGGAGATAGCCCGTCTCTGCCTACAATATTTTGATATTTTTCACCCTGTTGGTGGTTTTACTGAGCAGGTGCCACTTTTGTCATATGTTTCTTTTTAAAACATGTTTAGACACCAGACAGAATAATTCTGTGCCCTAACAGTAGTTTACGAAAGTAAGACAAACGAGAGGCACCTGGCTGCCGCTGGGAGAACGCTCCGTGTTCTCACTACTCTGTAAACAATCACAGACAACGTGAAAGTTAAAATTGAAAACAGAAGTTTAAGTTAAAACAGAAACACTCTAAAACTTTTCTGATGATTTTCTAAACAATTCTGTCGGGGAGTTATACGTTTCTGAGACGAGTCTCTGTCTAAACATCATCGCATGCATTACTATCATTAAGCAGCAGGTGTGTTGAAGCTGTCATCAGCTAAGGGGCGGATGCTTACGTGTATCAGGGGCAACGAGAAAGTTGTGGTCAGGCTGGAGATCACACCAGATTCGCTGCTGCAGGTGTGAATCTGCGGGTCTACAGTATCCCCGTATTAATGTGACATAAGGACTTCCCATGTAAGGAAGGTCCGCTCACCTGTTCGTCAGATCATTATTTCCTCGCCATGATCTTTTATCTTCCCATCATCCTCCAGTCATCCAACTGGAACCAGTTAGTGTTCCTGATCATTCTCAGAATATGTCATGCCTGCTCTGGTGTTAAAAGTTAGCACATTTAAGTCCTAGCCAGGGGTGTCAAATATGTGGCCCGTGGGCCGGATCCGGCCCGCGAGATGGTTGTGTAAACTTTATTTTCCTACTTTACAATGTAGAGTGAAAGTAAACTTATCTTTGTGAGCAAGTTTTCTCTGTAATGAGTATAACTAAAACAAAGCTGCGCTCAAGGCTCACACAAGAACTTGAATCATATCCTGAAGTTGGCCGCCACTCAGGATGTGACTTCTGATATTGATGTGCTGGTGAAAGCTATAAAGATGTAAAGTAAAATGAGTCAAATATACTTTAAGTGCTGCATGAAACTGATCTAGCCATGTGATCTGTAAGCTCTTTGAATCGCTAAGGAATGTTTTTTATTTTTATTTATTTTTCAAATTTTCAAGTACACTTCAGGTGTTGTACTTGTACTATTTTGGATACATTGTCCTCAGGCTCCAACTTTGTTTTATATTGATTGTATTAAAACAAAGAAAATAATCTGAAGTTGTTTTTAATTTACCAGTCCAGCCAACTTAGATTTCCCTCAATGTGGCCCCTGAGCTAAAATTAGTTTGACACCCCTCTCCTAGATCATATTTGTGCCTGTTCTACTGTCATTTTGAAGGGTTATTATTTATGTGTTTTTACTACATTATGAGTAGAAATGCTAATAAAAACTCCCAATTATACAAACAAGTAAAACTGGAAAAATTAGAATCTGGTGCAAAGTCAAATTTATTTCAGTAATTCAACTAGACAGAGAGACTATTTAAAGGATCAGGAACCCTTTGCAGGCGTTTTCTATTTGTAATTATACATTTTAGTTGATTTGGGTCTTGTTTCATATCACACAGTGACATTTGATTAATTAAAATAGATTTTTTAATTAAAAGCTTTAGTTTTACAGTAATAACTATGTCTAATGTTTAATTCTCTGTCTCATAATTTTAATTAAGTTTTGCTTTGAGAGCACATTTTCCTGAACGATTAAAATGCAATTAATTTAGATTAATTAATTACAAAGCCTCTAATTAATTAGATTAAAATTTTTAATCAAGTCCCAGCCCTAATTTTTATATATACATTTATTTTGTCTTGTAATTGTTAATTACATACTCCTTTATTCCATATCATAGCAGTGTTATTCATATATTAAAACTGTCAACTGCACACTCATTTGGCAGAATAAAAGTTTGACAATTATTCATTTGTTCTTTGTCATATTTCAGTAACATTTATAATCAAGCAAGTTGTAATTAAACAAATTAAACAAATGACTGCAACATTTCCCCATGTTAAGTGCAGTAGACTGAAATGAATAGCTTTATTTGGAAATATAACATATCTAATTTTTAATGGACTTATATAAAATCTTTCTTCAACATAGACCCCACTAATGAACTGATTAAGTGTTTTTTATAAAAAGAGGAGAGAAAATGCACAAAGGTAGGAAAGGAAAAGAAAGTGATAAAAAAATAGGTTTTGTTAAATGTTCTTCAGATAATGAATTAATTGACAAAGTTTTTGCAGGGTGTGAAAAAAAATGTTCAAGGTCAAGCTCCTGGGGCTAAGCCCCCCCTATATCTCAATCCTAGTGACGTCCATGGTTGTAACACTCCCCCTCTCAAAAGAGTTCTTCCGGGAACTCACAATCTTCAGCTCCTGTCCAGTCATCATCCTCCTGTAGAACCTGCAAAAACAGAGGGGGAAAAAAAGCCAGCCCACATACAAACACCCAACCCAAAATTTCAAAAGAAAAGTGATGGACCGGCCAAAATGAACAAAAGGAGAGACCACCTAGACCAGCCCACATAGGGTTGTAGGATCTGGTGGCCTCCCTCTACCCTAAACCAACAGGAAAATTAACCCTTGCAGAAATAAAGCCACGAAAACTAGACTACCGGACCAACACAAAAAAAATTTTAAAGATAAACTGCCACAACACACTCATCAGTAATGTGTACCCTATACAAAATACAACAGCCACAGACCAAAGAATCATCACTCCAAAGTTGCTACACACACAAAAAAAAAAAAAAAAAAAAAAAAAAACTTAGTAATAACTAACACAAAAGTGAACTGGTGGCTACACAGAACTGCTGCAAAGACCCAGTAACGCGGCCTACACAAAATGGAGCACAACAGTCACAAACTAAAGGATTACCAAACCAAAGTCACTACAACACAAACACCAAGTAGCAACTGGCAACCCACACCAAACTAAACTGTTGTCACCACAACACTAATTATCACAAAGTGGATTCACACCACACACCAAATTACT